CTGATGAAGGAGTTTCTCGGTCCCCACATCGCCAACTTTATCAAAGCTTCTTTCGTCATTAGTGTTTTTGTGTCTTGAGAAACCTTCCCAACCTCAAGGTCAAACAGGAATTCACTGATATCTCTTACCAAGAGCTTTTCTTCTTCAATTCAGTCACCTAAAGTTGATTTTTTTCCCAGCCCTAACAACGTATAATTGACAAACAAAAATTGTGCATGTTTTTTGTAATTTTTTTCTGTACAAGATCATGTTTTGATAGATGTGTACACTGTGAAACTGATGTCGGAGGTAGGGCCCAGGGGGCCCAACAGTCGGCCTCAGCCCGTCCTGTGCTCTTACCAGGCTCCTGACTCCGCCACAGGAAAGAATTCAAGGGCAGCGTCACAGCAGAAAGTGAGAACAAGTTTAATATCACAGATGAGAAATGCAGGTTCCACGGAGAGAGTGCAGCAAGCTCCGGACGCTGAGCAGGGCCCACACCAAGTCTGACACAAAAGCAAGAAAAACACTTAAAGCCCAGTACAAAGTGCAGGCTCAAGAGTGAGCAGCAGCCCCGCCTTCTGCTGGGATTCGGCTTTTATGGTTTCTCTAATGAATATTCAACTAAGGGGGTGGCTCCTGGTTATGTAACACTTAGTCTGGCACATGCTCAGTCGGTCTCTTTCTGGAACATGTTCATTGGTCAGACTCTATCACATGCACCAGGCACATTCAGGAAGGTTCTGTTCTCTCTACCGAGCATGCCCAGGACCTGGATGTGCGTAAACCAGCCCCTGTGGTCTCATTTTCCCCTTGTTGGTGCTAAAAATATGTCTGACTGGCCACAGTGACTGTCCTCTAAGGGAGAGCTCAGAGGAGGCACCTGAGACTTCAGGGAGTGGCTGGAAACCCAGAGGCACGTCCTGTAACCCGTGCTAAAAATATGTCTGACTGGCCACAGTGACTGTCCTCTAAGGGAGAGCTCAGAGGAGGCGCCTGAGACTTCAGGGAGTGGCTGGAAACCCAGAGGCGCGTCCTGTAACCGGAGCCCAGGGACACCGAGCCCCTCCTGTATCAGTGGTTCAATCAAGCTGATGGGCACATCCGTCGTGGATTATTTTTAGTTAGTGCGAGGTAGGGACCCAATTTTATCTTTTTCCATATTGATAACCATTTTTCCCAGCTTGGTTTATTGGCTACCTACCCTCTGCCATATACCAAGATTCCAGACGAAAGTGGTCTGCTTCTGGGGTCTCTCTGTCTCCCCCTTTCCATGGGTCAGTTTGTCCATCTCTGCAGCAGAGCTGCATCTTATTGATTACCCTGGCTTCACAAGAAGCTCCGCTCTCTGGTCGGGACCATGCCTGCCCCCTGTTCTTTCTCAGGAGTGTTCCGGCTGCTGTTAGTCTTGATTCTTCCATGTGAATTTTAGAATCGGTTTATCAAGGTCCATGAAAAGCTCTGTTGGTATTTTGACAGGAATGCCACTAAATCTATAGATCAGTCTGGGGAGAATTCACATCTTTATAATAGATGGCCTTTTTTTCTATAACACTTTATACTTTTTTATTTATTTCGGTCTTATTTAACATCTCTCGGTAACGTTTGGAAATGTTTTCTGGATGTCTTTTATTAGCTTTGTTCTCAGGATGTGATACTTTCTGCTTCTATTCTAGACCTGGTGGTTCTCTTTTTAATTACATTTTTCTGCTTGTTTGTTGCAAGTCTACAGAAATATTATCTTAATATCTTCATTTTATCAGCAGCCATCTTGCTAAATTTTTCTGTTATTTCTGGGAACTTACAGATTCTTTTAGTTTTTCCATTTAAATGATCAAATCACCAACGAAAAACAACAGTATTATTTCCTCCTGTCCCAAGTCACATCTTGCTGTGTGCAGTGAGGAAGGGCAGGGAGCCATGGAACAGAGGTGGCGTGGCCACAGGCGTCCAGGCCGCCCCGATGTGCAGGGAGTGCTTCTGCCTTCCCTGTGCAGCTTGATTGCTCTGGCCACATGAGCTCCCCCTTATGCTGGGTTTATCCAGTTTTACTATGAATGTACTTCTTTATTTTCTAATAATATTAAATCACCCTATCCTACTTAGAAAAACG